GGCAGTATAGCTGTTAATATACTAGAATATGCACAGAAAAACAAAGAAGTGAAGAAATCTTTTTCCCTCTTTCCTCTCTCTTGCAGATTATGATTAGAAGCATTTTTCTGTATCTGGACAGGACGTATGTTCTTCAAAACTCAACAATATTATCCCTGTGGTAAGAAAAATCTGACTGTTTAAAACGAACTTGTTTGTTCTTTCTACTCTAGTATTATTACAGCTCTATGGTAGTATTTTTCCAGAATTGACACCAAAATTATCTCTTTTTTCCCATAATCCCCTGCAGATCATGGAGAGAAAAGTATCATCCATATATTGTCTAGCTGACAGTTGATAAGAGTACACAAACTTATCAGTCACTGAGAGTTCTTTTGTTACGACAACAAAGTCCATTCACCCTTTAACCCCTAAGACTGACAAAGATCTAATTTCTTCTTACAATACTACCCCTGGATCAAACATTAAGGTTACAAGATTAAAGGAAATGACCAGCAACTAAAGAAGCCCTTGATTGTTAAAGAAATTTTCCTTGTCAGCTCCTTTGTAAATGTATAGAGAAAGTATGGAGAATATGTAGCTGCAGCAAGGCAATCAGGTTAATAGATGTATAATATATATTGTATTGTTTTGTAGGGATATGAGTCTGAATTTGTTTCGTACGCACATCATGAGTAACAAAACAGTACAAGAGAGGACGGTGGATGGTTTACTGCAATTAATAGAAAATGAAAGGTGAAAATTATATAAACAAGATGATTGTATGATTCTTAGTATATATCATGCACTCAAGTAAACAACTGGTTACTTCCAGAGATAGCATGGCAAGATTTTTATCAGTTTGATTTAAGCTATGTGTTTGTATATTCTCAAAAGGAAAGAAATTTTTGATCATTTGGTGATTTAGGCTTTGACATGTACATATTAGATACAAGCAAAACAGGTATTTGCCTAAGGTGTAAGTAAAAGTGGTGAATGTTTACCTTATTACCTCCTGGCTCAAGAAGTGTCCATCATTATTTACCTGCTCCTTGTTGAAGTATGGTTACTTACATACATGAATGAAAGAAACTGTGTTGCTGCATTGCTAGTGGTGTAACAAGATAATTTGGCTTTATCAACTGACTTGATAATGTGAATTGGCCACTCAGTGTAAGGAGATTCTAGGGCTGATGTTTTGAGAATCAGCCCCTGGCACTCTGACAAAGGACTTATACTCTTTTAAATCATCAGTGTTAGAATATCTTAACAGTGGCAAATTCAAATTATCAATTTAGTTAATAAAACCACATTATGGTCAGTTATTATTGTTTTTTTTTGTGTATGTTTGTTTCTTAATTCCACTCTTGTCCTTGGTTTAAATGGCTAATTTGAAAAAAAAACTTTCTAGCTCATTTAAGTGATGGTTACATTGCATGTTCTTTTCATATTTCTAGACATGGTGAAGCAGTTGACAGAACATTACTTAAAAGCTTGTTGAGAATGTTAGCTGACTTGCAGGTAAATTCATGAATGTACAGAGTAGTTTGTGGTGAGGTGGTAGCTGAATGGTTAACCTGTTAGACTCTGGGTGGAAAGATCTGGGTTTGGGATGTAGCTGAGTCATTGTTTTGTGTTATTGGGCAAGACACAGTGCCTCTCTTCACCTAGGATTATAAATGGGTCAAGGTGAATTGTCAGAAAAGCTGACAAACTGTTGCAGGTGGGGTTAGGGTTAGACATTAGACATAATATTGACAGAATGATTGTGTGCTCTTGGATTAGATGTATGAGGATGCATTTGAAACAAAGTTCC